TGACTATAAGGATGGGTGAGGAAAGTTACTTTTTTGTTTTGGGAAATACGTGCCTGTAAATCTGAAAGGGTGGGGGTGAGAATGTTACAAGCTTTTGGAGGGGGGAAGTACAGGGACCCGTACTCTGAAGGGAAAGAGTTTAGAAAAGTTACAGTTCTGGGGGTTGGGGAAAAAAAAGTACCCCGTACTCTGGGAAAGGGTGAGTGGAAAGTTACAAATTCTGGAGGTGGGAAGTACAGTACCTGTTTCTCTGAAAGGGTGGATGAAAAATGTTACAGTTCTGGAAAGGGGGGGGAAGTAAGTTTCCTGAATCTGAAGATTAGTGGGAATGTTTTTCAGTTAGGGGGTGGGAAGTTTCAGTACCTGTACTCTGAAAGGATGAAATGGGATGTTACAGTTCTGGGGGGTGGGGAAGGGACAGTTTCCCCGGGACTCGAAGGATGAGTGAGGAAAGTTACATTTTTGGAGGGGGGAAAAACAGTACCTGTCTCTGAAGGAAAGAGTGGGGAATGTTACAGTTTTTGAAAGGGGGGAAGTGCAAATACCTGTACTCTGAAGGAAAGAGGGGAGGTGTTACAGTTCCCGGAGGGGGGAAGTACAGTACCTATACCTGAAGGATGAAATTGGGGGATGTTAAAAGCTCTGGAGGTTGGGGAAATACAGTACCCTGTACTCGGGGAAAGGGTGAGTGGGGTGTTTCTGGCCTTTGGAAGGTGGGAAATACAGTACCTGTTTCTATGAAGGATGGGTGAGGGGTGTTTTCAGTTCTGTGGTGGGAAGTACAGGGGCCTGACTCCCGGGAAAGGATTTTGTGAGAATGTTACAAACTCTGGGGGGGGGTTTTGGGAAAAATAACAGGTACCTGTACTCTGAAGGGGGGGTGAAAGGGTGTTACAGCTCCCGGAGGTTGGGGAAATACCGTTTCCCGTACTCTGAAAGGGTGAGTGAGGTTTTTACTGTCCTGGAGGGGGGGGAAGGAAAAAAGTACCTGTACTATGAAGGGTGGGGGGGGGGGATGTTTCAAATTCTGTAGGTGGGAAAGTACAGTGCCTGTACTCTTTAAGGAAAAGAGTGAGAATTACAGCTCTGGAGGTTTGGGGAATAAGTACCGGTTTCTCTGAAGGATGGGGTGAGGTTTTTAAAGTTTTGGAAGGGGGGAAGTACAGTACCTGACTCTGAAGGGATGGTGAGAAGGGTTAAAAGTTCTGGAGGTGGGAAGTAAAATTTCCTGTAATCTGAAGGATGATGAGAAAGTTCAGTTCTGGAGGTGGGAAAATACAGTAACCCCCGGGACTCTGAAGGATGAGTGGGGAATGTTTTCAGTTTTTGGAGGGGGGAAATAAGTCCTGAAATTTTGAAGGATGAGTGAGGATGTTACCCGTTCCCCGGGGGGGGGAAAATACAGTACCCGTTTCTCGAAGGATGAGTGAAAGGGTGTTACAAATTCTGGAGGTGGGAATACAGACCCCGTACTTTTGAAGGATGAGTGAGGATGTTCAGTTTTTGGAGGGGGGGAAAGTTTTTTTAACCCCCCTACCCCTGGGAAATCCCCGAAGGGTGAGTGGGATGTTACAGTTCTGGAGGTGGGGAAATACCCGACCCGTACCTGAAGGGTTTTGGGGAGAATGTTAAAAGTTTGGAAAGGGGGGAAGTACAGTACCTGTACCCCCTGAAAAGGGTGAAATGAGGATGTTAAAAGTTCTGGAGGTTTGGGAAGTACGGACCTTACTCTGAAGGATGAGTGGGGATGTTACATTTTGGGGTGGGAAGTTTCAGTAAACCTTATCTGAAGGATAGTGAGGAAAGCTAAAAAAGTTTTTTGGAGGTGGGGGAAATACAGTAACCCGTACTCTGAATAATGGTGAGGGGTGTTTTCATTTCTGGAGGAGGGAAGTTTAAAATACCTGTACTAGGAAAGGGTGGGTGAGGTTGGGTTTCTGTCCTGGAGGGGGAAAATACAGTAAAACCCGTATATGAAGGATGAAGGAGGTGTTTCAGTTCCCGTAGGGGGGAAAATACAGTGCCCCGTACTCTGAAGGGTGAGTGAGAAATTTTTTAACCCCGCTCTGGAGGGGGGAAGTAAAGTACCTGTAAATCTGAAGGATATTTAGGATGGGTTTCAGTCTGGAGGTGGGAAAATTTCAGTCCTGTACTCTGAAAAAAATGGTTTAGGATGTTACAGTAAAGGGGGGAGGGAAATACAAATACCGTACTATTTAAGGATGGGTGAAAGGTGTTTTCGGGCCTGGAGGTGGGAAAATACAGTACCCCGAAATATGAAAAAATTTAGGGGGGATGTTACAGTTCTGTTGGGGGGAAAGGGGAAAAAGTGCCCCCGTACTCCCCGAAGGATTAGGAGGGAAGGTTACAAACCCCTGGAGGTGGGAAGTACAGTACCTTTAAATTCTGAAGGATGAGTGAGGATGTTACAGCTTGGAGGTGGGAAGTAAAAAGTCCTTTTACTTGAAGGATGGGTGAGGAGTTACTGTCCCGGAGGTGGGAATTTCACAACCTGTACTATGAAGGGTGGGTGAGGATGTTACAGTTCTGTAGGTGGGGAAAAATACAGTGCCTTTTACTTTTGAAGGATGAGTGAAAAAATGTTTTAAACTCCCGGGGGTGGGGAAGTCAGTAAAACCCGTATTCTGAAGGATGGGTTTAGAATTTTTACAGTTTTTGGAGGTGGGAAATACCAAATTTTTTCCTGTTTCTCTGAAAGGAAAGAGTGAGGAAAGTTACAGTTTTTGGAAAGGGGGGAAGTACAGTACCTGTACCCGAAGTGAGTGAGAAGGTTTCATTTCTGGAGGGGTTTTGGGGAAATTAAAGTTTCCTGTTTCTTTTAAGGGTGATGAGGGAAAGTTTTCAGTTCTGGGGGTGGGAAAATTCAAATACCCCGTCTCCCCGAAGGGAAAGAGTGAGAAAAGGGTTTTCAGTTCTGGAAAGGGGGGGAAAATAAAAATACCTTTCTCCCCGAAGGGGTGGTGAGGGTTTTCAAATTTTGGAGGGGGGAAGTACAGTACCTGTACCTGAAGGAAGAAATGAGGATGTTTTCAGGGTTTTGGAGGTGGGAAAATTTTCAAATACCCCGTACTCCCGAAGGTTTTAGTGAAATGTTTTTCCCGTTTTTGGAAGGGGGGGGAAATTCAGTAAACCCGTTTTCTGGGATGAGTGAGGGTGTTACAGTTCCCGGAGGGGGAAAATACAGTACCTGTACTCTGAAGGATGAAAGGGGGGGATGTTACAGTTTGGAGGGGGGAAGTACAGTACCTGGGACTTTTGAAAGGGTGAGTGGGGAATTTTTACAGGTTTTTGGAGGTGGGAAGTGGCCAAATACCCGTACTTAATAATGAGTGAGGATGTTTTCAGTTCTGGAGGTGGGAAGTAAAAGACCTGTACTCTGAAGGATGAGTGAGAATGTTTTTCAGGGTTTTGGAGGGGGAAGTGCAGTTCCTGTACCCCCTGAAAGGAAAAGAGTGAGGTGTTACAGTACTGGAGGTGGGGGAAATACTTTTCCTTTATCCGAAGGGTGAGTGAGGTGTTACAAATTCTGGAGGTGGGAAGTACGTAAACGGGAAATCTGAAGGATGAGGAGGATGTTACCCGTTCCCGGAGGGGGGGAAATACAGTACCTGTATCTGAAGGATGAGTGAGAATGTTCAGTTCTGGGGGTTTGGGAAGGCAGTCCCTGTACTCTAAAAGGATGAGTGAGGATGTTACAGTATGGGGGTGGGAAGTACAGTACCTGTACTCTGAAGGATGAGTGAGAATGTTACAGTTCTGGAGGTGGGAAGTGCAGTACCTGTACTCTGAAGGATGAGTGAGGATGTTACAGTTCTGGAGGTGGGAAGTACAGTACCTGTACTCTGAAGGATGGGTGAGGATGTTACAGTTCTGGAGGTGGGAAGTACAGTACCTGTACTCTGAAGGATGAGTGAGAATGATTTGGATGGAGAGAAACTGGAATTGCAATTTCAGCACTTCTTGTATAACAGTGATTGAATGATGTTGAGTGTGTTCACTTCTTTGAGTCACTTTGCTTTGCCAGATGAAGTTAAAAAAACCAAATGTGGCAAATATACATTACATAAAAATAAAACACTCATTCGAACTACGAGGATGGTTTATATAGTAACCATTATTTTCAAATATAAAAAATATGATAAGAAAAATTTAATGGCTTTACAAAAACATCATGGAAAAAGAAATACAGGAGGACATGCAACACAATGTTCAAGTGTTGCATAGAAAAACAGTTTGAAGATGAAGACTGAGCAGTATGTGGGCTGAATGAAACAACCATGAACTGGCCGCCTTCCACCGAGGCAAGGCACGGTGACCAGAAAAAGAAGAATCACTTTCACCATCACTCAGTCCATCACTGTCTTGCCAGAGGAGCACATATATGACAGTTCACATACCCCTCCAAACAGCAAATATCCCCACGCCTCCTTTCGAGCATAAAATATCTTAATTATGTTTAGGGGAGAATGATTATGTCAAAACGGCTGTGCGAAGAAGCCCCTTAACTTTTTCTAACGTAACCCATGGCAACAAGGATCTAAAATAATGACTGCTCACTTAGCACAGATCCCAAGGCAAGTGAAAATACAGACTTATTAAAGTGGAACCTCCACTTTAGTGAAACTAAATGAAAAATAAAGAAATTTATATGAGATTTACAACTACGAGAAGGTTAGAAAAATAAATGCAACTAAATGCTTGAATTGCTGAGGAAAGATAAACTGAGTAATAGAGAAATTAAGAAAATAATTTTTGCAACTACATAAATACTCAACTAAGACCTTCGCTGGGCCATCCTACGGTGTGACAGGTAACAGAATATAGCAGAAAACGAGGCCAGAAAAACAAAGGAATGACGTACAAGCAGAGACTAAATTAAAAAAATGAATAGCTGAATAACATATCAATTTTAAAAACGATAGAATTGTCAATAACCAAAGAAAATATTTTTAAAGAAAGAAAACGCAACACAAAATTGAATTTCATATCATACTTTAGTCATGGTTTCACCTGCCGAAGGAGGAAATCTAAGGGTGTTCCGAGGAAAGGGTCCATCTTAATAATGAATGATTACATATTAATCATCTCATTGGAATCTAAACTCACCCTCCGTCTTAAGAAGGGTTCATCCTGCAAGCAGAAAAACAAAGAATAAAATAAACAACATTCAGGTTGTAATAATGGTGGTAGAATTACCGACAATGTTAGGTAAGAGGGACGCGGGACATAGATCAATGTTAAGATGGTATAAGATACAGACACCCCCAACTTACGAACAAGTTACATAAGGCTGTTTTTATCTTGAGCTGTTCTTAAGTCGTTATTTTGCCATTTTTCTATTGTTACGATTATTATTGATTTTAATATTATCATTATTATTGTTCTGTCTCTGTGCCATTGTTCGTTGAAAACTTTAAGACAATACTGTACAGTATCAGTAATGTACTGATACTATACAGTCTGTTTGTATGCCTGAATGTTTGTTCATATGCCCGAACGTTCGTAACTCTAATGTTCATTAGTAGGGTAGCGTCTGTACCGACAGGTTGATAAGTAAGACGTGTGCAACAGTTAAGTACCTATCCCAGAATAAAGATACCTAACTGTGGCACGTCTTACTTACCAATGGGATGTAGGTTATGGCTTGACAAAACTCCTGGAGGGCAAAATGTTGCCATAATAAAATGTCGCATTAGATGCACACGTGTCCTTTTACCTCACATTCAGGTTATGGGAAAATATGACAAGGACAGCAAAACTCTTTCACAAGACAAATCAACTTACATAACTTACCTTTCTAAGCCTCCTAGGCCTCCAGAAACAATCTTAGGGCTTACCTTGGCGACTCTCTCCTCTATCGAAGGCCCCCCTTGCAATAATACAGATTGCAAGTACTTCTTATCCTTGGCTTTTCTGAAAAATGGATGTTTCAGGAGCTCCGAGGCAGTGGGGCGCTTGGTGGGATCTTTCTGCAGGCAGTCTGTTATCATCTTTCTTATAGTTTTACCATAGCTCTTGTACTGGTCCTGGAATGGAACATAGTAATTGATCACTCTATTAAGACAATTTCAATTATTCAGAAGTGTGTGTGTTGGTTAGGTTAGGTAAGGCTTGTAAGGAAACAGGACAAGTGTTTCCAGTTGTGGGTCTTGGTCATATGAAGACCCACAGCTGGAGCTTTTGGTAGGGTAGGTTAGGTAAGGTTGGTCAGGGAACAGGACTAGTGTTTCCTGATGCACGTTTTAGTTACATGATGACCCACAGCTGGAACTTTTGGTCATCTGACCAAGGCCTTCCACTGGCTTACTCCTCCACCACCTTAAAAATTATGGTTATGATTATAAGCATTGTCGTATTTGTAATTACCTACTGGAAGCAAATTTTTGGGCCTGCCTCTACCTTTCAACTATAAATATAACAAGGAGCAAATTTGCGTTAATCAGTTGATTGAAGAAATGATAGACAAAAAGTCATAATACCATGACTGGAATAATACACAAATACATAAACTTATGATGACGTTTCGGTCTGACATGGACCACTGACCAGTCACACTAACACATGAAGGTAAGGGAACCAGTGGATATATAAGAGGACAGGGAGAGGACAAAGAGAGAAGGAAGAATGAAGTGGAGTATGTTCATGTAGTAGTAGGTAGGGGAGTAATGGTAGTGGCACAACAGATAGACAGTGGAGTGAATTGAGGCAATAGTAGCAGTAGTTTTATCATAGTATATAGTAGTAATAGAGTAATAGTGTAGTAGAAGTAGTATTAAAGTAGTAGTAGTATTATAGTAGTAGTATAATAGTATAGCAGTAGTATAATCATATAGTAGCAGTAGTAAAGATAATACAAAGGGACGGAAAGAAGAGAAGAAGGCAGTATATATAGGCCAGGTCTGCTGGCCTATTTATATTGTCTCCTTCTTCCTTTCTGTTAGTGTGACTTTGTAAATGGTCCAAGTTGGACCGAAATGTCGTCGTAAGCTCCTCTCTCCTATGTGCGGGTTATCTGTGTATTGTTCCAGTCAGGGTGTTGTGTCTTTTTGTTATTCTTCCTGTTCCATCATTAAACCTCATCCTGGTACAACCTTGTTCTTCAGTCTAGTTGGCAGAATGTTTAAATCAGATTCAACGAAACCCGTTAATGCTTGCAAGTAAAGTCATTTAACCTTTTAATGTCCCTTTTTCTTCAGCACCTTTTTCCCAGAGTGGGTGGATCTTCTGTGTGTGGCATGAGGTTTTCTGGGTGGGTATTTGTGGTAGGGTGCTGTCCCCGTTACCATCTCTATCGCATGATCCCCAAAGACCAAATATCACCCCTTGAAATATCCCCCGAGACCGGAAAATTTAAAAAAATGTGATTTGAAAAAATTATTCTCCCCCCAATTTAAAAAGGGTGACTCAAATAAAACTTCAAAAAGTTTTTTCTTTTTTAAATTTTTAGTAATGTTACAGGAGAAGGGGTTCTAGCCCCTTTCTCTTGGCATGTAGTCCCCTCTTCGCAGCATGGTTACGGAGGAGAATTCTTCCCCCTTCCCCAAAGGGAAAATTTTTAAAATTTTTTTTAAACTTTAGCTGTCTCCCCCAAGGCAGGTGATGAAAAAAAAAAAAATTTTCCCCATCATTACACTATCCTGTTTACTAGAGGCATGAATACTACGTTTGGATGCCCCTTCAAACTGCATTTATCTCCCCCTCATTCGAGGGCAGACCTTATATGTCCACCTCCGGACTTGGTCCGCTACCCGGTTTCCCCAATTCTTTACAAAATGTTACCGGCTACACTCCAAAGGCTCAAGTCCCAAAAACCATTTTTTCCCCTCACTCCACTCTAACATGCTTACAGGTACCTGCTGAAAATAAACTTCTCACCCAAAACCCCCTTTTCCCCCCCCTCCAATTTTCCCAGGACCCCACCCCCTTCCCCCCCACTGCGATTTTTTAACCCTCTAAGTTTCCATTTTTTCCACCTCTTAAATGTCCAAACCCCTCAACAACCCCTCCTCAGCCTTCTGGATTTTTTTAAAATAAAATCTGCACCTTTAATTCCAAGCAACAAATTCGTGAAAATTTTGCCCCCATTGCCCTGAGCACATCTCCCCTGACTCCCGCCCCCTCCTTGTGAAACATGCCCAACCCATGCTTCAACCCCTGTAAGGTGTTGGGATAAAACTTCATAATTTCTTTTTTTTTCCCCTTTTGGATAATTTTTTTTGTTCCACACTCCTTTGGGGCACCACACACCTTTTTTCCCCCATCAATTCTAGATTTGCTTCACCTTTCACAGACACATTGGGACTTTTCCATCCCAAATATCTGAATACATTTTACTTTTCCATACTCCCTCCCCTCCCAAACTGTATCCAAACTTTCTTATTTAACCCATTCATTACCCTTATCATCTTGTCTTTCTTGTTTTACTTTAAATTTCTTTCTTTTATTACCTTCCCAAAATTTGTCCCCCAGAGTTCAAACTTTGGGACAATACAACTCTATCTGCTTTCGTGAAGATAAAAAAGCAATGGGATTGAATGTGCTGGATGTAGTGCGGAGACAACAAAAAATTTATTGTGATGTTTGAAGAAAAGAAGTTGGATGTCCCGGGGCCTAAGCGAAAAAAAGCCCGAAAAAGGGGTAGGGGGGTTTTGGTGGGGGGAAATAAAAGGGATTAAATTGGGGTATCTGGAGAGTTGAGCTAAGGAAGGGGGGAGCAGTAAGTTGAAAGGGTAGTTATGGAAGGAGAAAAGAGAATGTGAATGTGAAATTCAAGGATTTTTTGTGGATTAAGTAAAAGGGTTTGGATGCGAGAAGTGGGTCATAAAAAGCGTGTATGCACCTGGGGAAGAGAGGAAGGTAGAGGGAGAGAGAGAGTTTTTTGGGAGATGTTAAGTGAATATATGGGAAACCTTTAAAACCAAGTGAGAGAGAAATTGTGGTGGGGGACCTTTTTTTTGCAAAAGTAAGAAATTTTTTTAGAGGGGTTTTTTTGGGTAGTAATTTTGGGGGTGCCAGGTGTAAATGAAAAGGGGGACCCCCCTTTGACTGAATTTTTGTATAAAAAAGGGGTTTAGTTAAAAGGGTTAAAAACTTTTTTTTTAAAAAAAGGAGGATAAATAAGTATACAAAAATATGATGTGGGGCGAAATAAAAAGTAGTTTTTTGGGGATTATGAAAATTGGTAGATAAAAGACTGTTAAGAAGCCCTTCAGGATAAAAACATTTTTTTATAGAGGGGCCACAGATATATAAGTTTCACTTTTTGGGTTTTTGCTACACTGAGAGTAAAAGGTAGATGGGATACAAGGAAATAGAAAACATCAGGGGAAAAGAGAGGTTTGGAAAATTTATCAAAATAAAAGAGGAGGATTTTAGGGGAAAATATAAAAAAGTTATTGGGGACAGATGGGGCCCAATGAGAGGGTTTGGCAATGGGGTCGAAGAGGTATGAGGTAGGTTTAAAAAAAGTTTGTTTTTTGTGTGTTCAGCAGAAGGTTTTTTGGTTACAGGGAAAAAGGGTTTTTGGGGGGAAGAGAAGCGACTGGTGGAATGATGATGTGAAAAGAGGGAGTTTAAGGGGAGAAAAAAGTTAGCAATTTAGAAGTTTTTTTTCAAAGTAAAGGGATGCAAAGGGGGGAAGAGTATATGGAGAAAAAAAAGAGAAGGGGTTTAAAAGAGTGGTGAAGCAAAAGTAAAAAAGAGGGGCAAATGAGAGAGTGGGGGAGGGTGTTAAAACAACCCAAATTTTTTTTTGGAAAAAAAAAAAAAAGTTTTTGGAAATGAGGGTTAACCCAAATTAAAGGGGAAAACCTAGAGAACAAAAAGGATTTTTCAGTTTAAAAAAAGGGGAAAAAGGGGTTTTTTAAAAGGAGAGTTAGAGGTATTGGGAAGATGGAGGGGAAAAAATTTTTTAGGAATTGTTAAAAGGGTTTATGAAAAATAGGGAAGCTGTGAATTTCGTGTAAAAGGGCCAAAGGGGGGAAAAACATTTTTTAGGGGTGAGGAAGAGGAAAAATTGTTTAGTGTGGGGGAAAATTCGTGAGGCAGTAGGGTTAAAAAAGAAAGGGGGTTTTAAAGGGACCCCGGGGGGGATGGGAAAAAAATAAAAAAAGTTAAAAGCAGGTGGGGGTATAGTTTTGGAGTGGTTGGTGCAATTATTTAATAAATGTATGGAAGAGGGTAAGGTACCTAGGGTTTGGGCAGAGAGCATGCATAGTTCCTTTGTATAAAGGCAAAGGGGACAAAAGAGAGTGCAAAAATTATGGGGGGGATAAGTCTGTTGAGTATACCTGGAAAAGTGTATGGTAGAGTTATTATTGAAAGAATTAAAATTAAGATGGAGAATAGGATAGCAGATGAACAAGGAGGCTTTTAGGAAAGGTAGGGGGTGTGTGGACCAGGGGTTTTACAGTGAAACATATAAGTGAACAGTATTTAGATAAGGCTAAAGAGGTCTTTGTGGGATTTATGGATTTGGAAAAGGCGTAAAGACAGGGTGGATAGGGGGGCAAAGTGGCAGATGTTGCAGGTGTATGGTGTAAGAGGTAGGTTTACTGAAAGCAGTGAAGAGTTTTTTAAAGAGGATAGTGAGGCCCCAAGTTAGAGTACATAGGGGAAAAAGGGAAATTATTTCCCAGTAAAAGTAGGCCTTAGACAAGGATGTGTTTATGTTACCGTGGGTTTTTTAATATATTTATAGATGGGGTTTGTAAGAGAAGTAAATGCGAGGGTCCTTGACAAGAGGCGTGGAGTTAAAAGATAAAGAATCACACAAAGTGGGAGTTGTCACAGTTGCCTTTGCTGATGACCACTGTGCTCTTGGGAGATTCTGAAGAGAAGTTTCAGAGATTGGTGGATGAATTTGGTAGGTGGGTGCAAGAGAAGAAAATTAAAAGTGAAAACAGGAAAGAGTAAGGTTATGAGGATAACAAAAATATTAGGTGATGAAAGATTGGGTATCAATTGGAGGAGAGATATGGAGGAGGTGATGTATTCAGATATTTGGGAGTGGACGTTTTCAGCGGAT